GATGCTGGATCTGAGAAGGCAGAACTATGAAGAAAGACCAAACACATTGAACAACTGGATCTTCAAGTCCGAAAATAGGCTTTAAACAAAAAATCAGAATGGTCATGACAGTTTCAGTGAAATTTTCTGCACTGCTGCTTTCAACCTTTGAGCAGCTTTGGGACTTCCTGCTCTGTAAGGGACTCTTGAACCAGGAGGGGCTTGCTGCACTGTCAGCGACTTCCACACGGTCAGGAATGTTACTTTTTGCACTAGCAGGGACATGCTGCACTGTCAGAGACTTCCTGCTTATCAGGGATGGGACTTCTTACACTATCATGGACCTGCTGCACAATGGGAGACTTCCTGCACTGTCAGAGACTTGCTGTACTGTCAGGAACTTCTTGCACTATAACCAATCTAATTGAAGATCCAATTGAGGTAAAATTAAAGCATGAAAGATTCAACACACATTATGCTAAATGATTTGTCGGTGTTGCTGAGGAAGAAACATTAGCCATGCTATGGCGGGATGTTGGGTGTGGGGAGGAAATCGCCAAGTTCTTGACAAATTGCTCATTTGTATCTTTATTTAGTTTACCCATCAGCTGATGACCCCCTTGGTACTGCACTGGAGTGACAACCTGAATTATAGCGAGGGTGAGAAAGGAAAGTGAATTTGAGACCACAACCTTTCAGCTATGATCTTATTGAATGGTTGAGCAGACTTCAAGGGCTGAATGAACTATTCTTGATCCTAAATTCTGTGCTACTACAATCTCAAGCTCTAGAATAGGGATTTAAAGATCTCAGTTAGTGATTGCGGACAGAATTTTTAACTGCATTGTGCATTATACCTAAATCTATACTGTCGATAGCTATTGTCAAATCAAAAGTAATTTCCGTAATAGACCTGAGATGCTGGAAATACTGGACAACATAGCATCTGCTGAGAAAGAAACCAAGTCTACCACAGGCCAGTAATCTTTCAGCGTGACTGGAAAAATATTACAGATGCAACAATTTTAAACAAATATAGAGAACAGGAAAGGAGAGAGGTGTGGAGGAAGGCCTATGAAAGATAGGAGTGATTAGTAAAAGGAAGTGGTAGTGGACAAGTAAAAAGCATAAGATGGTGAAAACCCAACTTCTATCCAATGCAATAGGATATGGGCCAAATATGTTCGTGTTAGATTGTGGCAGGAAAAACAGTAAATGTCAAAGCAATATCATAGTTGCGAGCTCACTGGAGTAATAATCCAGAACCCCAGATTAATGTTCTGGTTGAAATCCCAACATGGCACACAGTGAAATTTGAACTCAATACTGTAATAGAATTTTTAAAAAAATATTGCCGGAACTGGAAAGTTTGATCTAACGGGAGAGGCTGAATAGGCTGGGACTATTTTCCCTGGAGGATCGGAGACTGAGGGTTGATCTTATAGAGCTTTATAAAATCATGAGGGGCATGGATAGGGTGAATAGCCAAGGTCTTTTTCCCAGGGTGGGGAAGTCCAGAACTTGAAGGCATAGGTTTAAGGTGAGAGAGGAAAGTCTAAACAAGGACCTGAGGGCTAACTTTTTCACATAGAGGGTGGTGCATGTATGGAACGAGCTGCCAGATGAAGTGGTGGAGGTGGGTACAATTACAACGTTTAAAAGGCATCTGGATGGGTATATGAATAAGAAGGGTTTAGAGGGATATGGGGCAAATGCTGGCAAGTAGAACTAAGTCAGATTGGGATGTCTGGCCAGCACAGACAAGTTCGACGAAAGGGTCTGGTTCCCTACTCTCTGACGCTAAAAGCATAGCCTGATGGCAACCAGATAACCACTGTTAATTGTCGTAAAAACATATCTGGTTCGTTGATGTCTTTCAGGGAAGGAAATCTGCCATTGTTACCCAGTCTAGCCTACATGTGACTCTACATCCATGGCAATGTGGTTGATTCTCAACTGCCGTCTGGGTAATTAGGGGTGGACAATAAATACTAGCTGAGCTAGTGATGCTCCCAGCCCATGTATGAATAAAAACAGGCAGTTTCATGCACAGTCAAGATATATTCCCTTGAAAGGGAAAGGTAGGGCTCACTGCTTGACCAAAGATGAAAAAAAAAAGATAAAGAAGAAGAAAAGTGCTCTTAGGACAGATGCCAGGCAGAAAAAAAATAATCGAGCATAGGATGGATATAGAATTATAGCAGGCCATTCGGCCCATCAAGACTACACCAACCCTCCGAAGATCATCCCACCCAGACCCAGACCCAAACCCACAACCTTGTGTTCGCCGTGGCTAATCCACCTAGCCTGCACATCCCTGGACATTATGGGCAATTTAGCATTGTCAATCCATCTAACCTGCACATCTTTGGACTGTGGGAGGAAACCCACGCAGACACGGGGAGAACGCGCAAACCCCACACAGACAGTTGCCCGAGGGTGGAATCAAACTCGGGTCCCTGGCGCTGTGAGGCAGGAGTGCTAAGCACTGAGCCACCATGTGCAGAGGGGTGGTTACAAATAAAATATGAGGCAAAGAGTGTATAAAATAGACTGGCAGCTAAAATAAAAGGGAATTCCAAAGACTTTTTTTAGGCTTATAAATAGCAAAGGAGTGGTAAAAGGAGGAGTGTAGCTGATTATTGCCCAAAAAGGGCAGTTACATATGGAGGAAGAGGGCATAGCTGAGGTATTAAAGTAAATTTGCTGGAGAGAGGTGCTATCCAGGCCTTGGTGACGAGGAGGAAAGTTGGTTACTGGAAAGGTTTTATTACTGTTCATAAGAAGGTATTGGATAGAATGTCTGCACAAAGGTTGATAAGATATCAGGGCCAGATAAGACATATTTAGAATATTGAGGAAATAATTGAAATAATGGAGGTGCTAGCCAAAATTTTCAGTCTTCCTTAGATTCAGGTGTTATGCCAGGGGACTTGGGAGCTGCAAATATTAGTCTTGTTCAAAAGTGGATATATAGAGAAACCCAGCAACTACAGGCTGGGACTTTGGTGATGCGGAAACTGCTAGAAACAATATTTTGGGCAAAATTAATAGGTACGTGGAGAAATGCAGATTAACTCAGGAATCCGAAAAGTGTTAAGTTGCTGGAGGTTTGTTTGAAGAGGGACCGAAGAGGATCAATGAGGACAGCGCTGTTGGTCTGGTGTACATGGACTTCATAAAATATTTGCTATAGTAGCATACAACAGACCTCTGAGCAATTGTTATAGCTCATTGAATAAAGGGGCATTTGCAACCTTGAAATGAAATTCGCTGAATTAAAAGAAAGAGACTGTAATGGTTAATGGCTGTTTCTTGAGCTGGAGGAAGGTTTGTTGCAAGATGCCCAGAATTCATTTCGATACCCTTGCTTTTCCTGATATATATTAATATTTAAACCTTGGTGTACAGGGCACAGTTTCAAAATATGTTAATGACGTGAAAGTTGGAAGACTTGCTAATTTTGAGAAGGGTGCTGCAGAACTCCAAAAGGCCATACACAGGTTGGTGAAATGGAGGAAAAGTGGCAGATGTGGAAAAATATGAGGTGATACATTTTGGCAGGATGAACATGGCGAGACAATACAAGCTAAAGGGTACGATGCTGAAGGGGATGCAGAAGCAGAGGGACCTGGCTGAATTTGTGCATGAGTCATTAAAGGTGGCAGAACAAGTTGAAAGCATAGTTAATAAAAAATCCTAGGCTTTAATAATAAGGGCACAGAGTACAAGAGCAAGGAGTTTATGTTGAACTAAAGTTGATACCAGATCTGCTTCAGATGGAATATGATAAATCCTCACTCAGTGGTGCAGTTGATTTCCAGAACTTGTGGTTGATTTCCTAAAAATCACTAGTTTCAGTGGATCACAGGTTTCCACAAGAATCAATATTAAATTTAGAGTTAGGTTCCATTGGACGTTTTTTTCCCCCAGAATAAATCAATATGCAAGTTGAAATAACATATCACGTATGTATAGCACTGTGTATTCCTAACTGAAATAATGTGCATAATAAATTAAATCATTAAATATAAAAAAAATACAACACAAAATGTGAAGTCTCTGGTCTTACCAGACATGAGACTGTTCTCTCATTAGAAGCTCACAATGCCTCAAGCAAGGACAGAATTTGAAAAGGACAGTCCTTTGCGGTAATACTCCTCGTATAATAAGGCTCCATCTAATGACTAAACTTAGTGCGGGAAATCCACAGATTCCTTGCACTGACCAACCTCTGCCACTAGATACAGCCTTTTGTTAGAAATTCGGAACCACAGTCAAAGAAGGGGATAGCTTCAAGGGCAAAGGGAGTCAAGGCAAGGGAGGGTAGGAAGCAAAGGCAGGTGGGGTTGGGCAAGCTAGGAGTCAAGACTAGGGCTAGGACAGATGAAGACAATGTCAAAGAGAAACAAAGCTGGAGGAGGTAACTCCAGGAATTAATAAGAATGGAGACAATGATATTAAACCAAGTCTGCAAAACAATGCAAGGAAACAGGCCTTAAAAATAAAACAAAATTACACTAAGCAGGGTGACATAAAGCAAGGGCTTATGTCATTTTCTGAACACCATGCTTTAAATAAGATACAAAGACATCAGACAGTGTAGAAAGAATTGTTCCTGTGATGAGGAATTTCAGTAATGAAGAGAGATTGGTGAAGGTAGGAATGCCTTCCTTGGAGAATTTATGTTTGAGAGCAGATTTGATTGAGGCATTCAAAATCATGAAAGATAGAAAAAAATAAACTTTAGAAAATATAGCAAGTAAGGAATATTTTAGAATTCCAAATCTGCTTAATGTTGCTTAACATTTTAAATCAGGAATGCAAAAAAATAGGAGTGAGCATAAATTTTAAATTATGAATAAGTGTGTGTGTCACAGTTTCAGATCAACAAAAAGAAGCATGACCGTTAGAGCTTATCAATAAGAAAACACTTAGTTGCAGGTTTGAATCGTGAACATTATTATACATAACGTGGCAATAACAGAAGCAGGTTCCAGCTGGGCAAGTTTATCAGGTACCTGTGGTCTGGCAGTTAACTTTCCAGCTGAATGATCGATATCAACGCTACCGATAGGTGGAAGCAGAGCATTGTGTCTGAGAGGCAGAGTTGGGGCAGAGAGGCGATCACTTGCTGTTTGTCTATAAGCAAAAAGAAACAAAAAAAAACATTGTGAGGTTTCATAAGACCATAAGATGTAGGAGCAGAAGTAGGCAACTCAGCCCATCAAGTTGCCCTGAGAGTCCTCAACACTGACTCCAAACCCTAGGAAGTTTCATGGCATCAGTCAAACATGTGCAAGGTAACCTCTTGCTGATTACTACATACTGTCCTCCCTTGGATGATGAATCGGTATTTTGCCATGTTGAACACCATGTGGAGGAAGCATTGAGGATGCAAATGGTGCAGAATGTACAATGGGAGTGGGGGGGCTTCAAGGACCATCACCAAGAGTAGCTCAGCAGCAAACTACTGATTTGATTTGATTTGATTTATTATTGTCACATGTTCCAACAGACAGTGAAAAGTATTGTGTTGCATGCTAACCAGACAAATCATACCATACATAAGTACATCCAGGTAATAGAACAGAATGCAGAATACAGTGTTACAGCTACAAAAAAAAGCGCAGAGAAAGATCAACTCTAATGAGGTCTGTTCGTAAGTCTGATAACAGTGGGGAAGAAGCTGTTCTTGAATCTGTTGGTATGTGTTTTCAGACTTTTGTATCTTCTGCCTGATGGAAGAGGGTGAAAGCGAGTATAACCAAGGTGGGAGGGGGTCCTTGATTATAAACGAAGAACAATACAGCACAGGAACAGGCCCTTCGGACCTCCAAGCCTGCCCTTCCATACAAAAACTCTCTTCACTTACGGGATCTGTATTCATCTGTTCCCTTGCTATTCATGTATTTGCCCAGGTGTTTCTTGAATGCTGCTATTGTGTCTGCTTCCACCACCTCCTCTGGCAGCACATTCTAGGCACTCACCACCCTTTGTGTGAAAAACATGCCTCGCACATCTCTTTTAAACTTCTCCCCTGCACCTTGAACCTGTGTCCCCGAGTAATTGACGCCTCCGCCCTGAGAAAAAGGCTTATACTTTCCACCCTATCCATGCCAGAACTGTAGGCAATATTCCAGGTGTGGCCTAACTAAAGTTCATATCATAGAGTCCCTACAGTGAGGAAACAGGCCATTCGGCCCAACAAGTCCACACCACCTCTCCAAAGAGCATCCCATCCAGACCCATTCCCCTATCCCTGCATTTCCCATGTCTAACTCACCTAACCTAAACATCCCTGGACACTATGGGTAATTTAGCATGGCCAATCGACCTATCCTGCACATCTTTGGACTGTGGGAAGAAAGAAACTGGAACACCCAGAGGAAACCAACACAGACACGAGGAGAATGTGCAAACTCCACACAGACAGTTGCCCAAGGGTGGAATCGAACCTGGGTCCCTGGCGCTGTGAGGCAGCAGTGCTAACCACGGAGCCACTGTTCTATAAAGTTACAGCATAACCAGTCTATCCTTATACTCAATGCCCCTTCCAATGAAGGCAAGCATGCCAGTGGCCTTTTTTTAACTACCTTATCCACCTGCGCTGCTCCCTTCAATGATCTGTGGACCTGCACACCTAGATCTCGCTGCATATCACTACTCCTAAAGGTTCTTCTGTTCATTGTATAATTTCCACCTGTACTTGACCTTACAAAATGCATCACCTCACATTTGTTCAGATTAAACGCCATCTGTCATTTTTCTGCCCATGCCTCCAACTGATCTATATCCTGCTGTATCCACTGACAATCCTCCTCATTATCCACAACTCCACCAATCTTTGTATCATCTGCAAACTTACTAATTAGACCAGCTACATTTTCCTCCAAATCATTTATGTTGACCATGAACAGCAGAGGTCCCAGCACTGATCCCTGTGGAACACACTAGTCACAGCCCTCCATTCCGAAAAGCATCCTTCTACTGCCACCCTCTAATTCCTATGACTAAGCCAGTTCTACGACCATCTTGCCAGCTCACCCTTGATACCATGCGACTTCACCTTTTGTACCAGTCTGCCATGAGGGACCTTGTCAAAGGCTTTACTGAAGTCCATGTAGACAACATCAACTGCTTTTCTCTCAATCATCTTTGTCACCTCCTCAGAAAACTCGATCAAGTTAGTGAGGCACGACTTCCCCCAAACAAAACCATGTTGTCTATTACTAATAAGTTCATTTGCTTCTAAATGCGTATAGATCTTGTCTCTGAAAATTCTTTCCAATAATTTCCCTACCACTGATGGGAGACTCGCAGGCCTGTAATTTCCTAGATTATCCCTGCTGCCCTTCTTAAACAATGGGACAACTTTGTCTATTCTCCAGTCCTCTGGGACCTCACTTGTGGGCAAAGCGGATACAAAGAAGTTTGTCAATGGTCCAGCAATTTGGTCCGTTGCCTCCCTCAGTATTCTGGAATAGATCCCATCGGGACCTGGTGACTTATCTACCTTAATAGTTCTAAGATGCACAACATCTCTTCCTTTTAAATAGCAACTTTGCTTAGAAACTTGACACTCATCATCCTTGCCCAATTTCTTCTTTTTGGTGAATACTGACACAAGGTATTCGTTTAGGACCTTAGCTTCCTCTTTTGGCTCCACACATACATTTCCTCCTTTGTCCTCAAAAGGGCTAACCCTTTCCTGGATCCCTTTTTGCTTCTTTTACATGAATCCCAAGGCTTTTCATACTCCTTAATCCTGTTTGCTAATAACTTATCATGAGCGTTTTTAGCTCTAATTCCTTGTTTAAGTTCTTTCCTACTTTCCCTATATACTTCAAGGCCTTCATCAGTGCCCATCTTCCTAGACCTTATGTATGTTTCCTTTCTCTTTTTGACCAAGGTCCTAACATCCCTGGTCATCCAAGGTTCATGTAACTTGTCACACTTATCTTTCAGTCTCGCAGGAACATGCCCTCCTTAACAACTGCCGTTTGAAATACTCCCACATATCTGATGTGGATTTACCCTCAAACAGCCACTTCCAATTAACGTTCTCCAGTTCCTGCCTAATATTGTTGTACTTTGCCTTCCCCCAATTTAACACCTTCACCTGCGGACTGCTGTTATTCCTGTCCATGATTATCTCATGGTATTATGGTCACTACTCCCGAAATGCTCCCCCACTAAAACTTCACTCACCTGGCCAGGCTCATTTCCCAAATCCAGGTCCAACATAACCCCTTTCCTGGGCTGTTTACAGACTGTGTCAAGAATCCCTCCTGAATGGTCCTTACAAATTCTGCCCCATCCAAGCCCCTAGCATGAAGGGAGTCCCAGTCAATACAGGGGAAGTTAAAATCATTCACTACAACAACCCTGCTGTCTTTACATCTTTCCAAAATCTGTCTACACATTGTCTCCTCTTTCTCCTACTAGCTGTTGGGAGGCCTGTGGTATATCTGGTCATTACACTACCAGAGGGATGTGGTTGCTGTGGACAGGGTACAGAAAAGGTTTATCAGGATGTTTCCTGGTATGGGGGATTTTAGGAATGAAGGAAGGTTGAATAGACTGTTTTTGTTTTCACTGGACTTCAGGAGGTTGAGGGGCCACCTGATAGAAGTTTTTAAGATTGTGATTGGCATGGATAGAGTGTAAAATATGAGGCTTTTTCCCAGGGTGGAAGGGTCAATTACTTCAGGACATATCTTCAAGATGCAAGGGGGGGGGAGGGGGGGATGTTTAAAAGAGACGTGCGAGGCACGTTTTTCACACAAGGGGTGATGAGTGCCTGGAAAGTGCTGCCACAGGCGGTAGTGAAAGCAGACATAATAGGAGCATTCAAGAAGCACCTGCAAGAATTCATGAATAGGAAGGGAATAGAGGGATACAGATCCTGAAAGTGAAGGCAGTTTTAATATGGAAGGGCAAAATGTGTCGGTGCAGGCTTGGAGGGCCAGAGAGCCTGTTTCTGTGCTGTATTGCTCTTTGTTCATTTATATACCCAGCATTGTGATATCACTTTTCCTATTCCTAAGTTCTACCCATATTGCCTCGCTGCACGAGTCCTTTGATGTATCCTCCCTCAGTACAGCTGTGAGATACTCATTTACCAGTAATGCAACTCCCCATCCCTTTCACATGCTCTTCTATCACACCTGAAACATGTACATCCTGGACATTCCGCTGCCAGTGCTGTCCCTGTCTCAGCCATAAATTCAGCCTAAATTGGTAGGATGGTAAATAGTGAGGAGGATATCCTTAGATTACAGCAGCATATAGGCAGGCTAGACAAATGGGTTGGTCAGTGGCAAACGGAATTCAATCGCTTAAATGTGAGGCGATGTACATGGGTAGGACAAACAAGGCAAGGGAATACATGATGAATGGTTGGACCCTGGGAAGCACTGAAGATGTCCACCAGTCCCTTAAGATATCAAGATATGTAGACAAAATGGTTAAGAAGGCATATGGTATGCTTGCCTTTATTAGGTGAGGCATAAAGTTTAAAAGCAAGGAGGTGATGTTTGAATTGTAAAATATCTTGGTTAGGGCACAGCTAGAATATTATGTGCAGTTCTGGAATCCACACTATAGGAGAGATGTGATTTACAGTGAAGAGGGTGCAGAAAGGATTTACCAGGATGTTACCTGGGCTGGAGCGTTTTAGTTATGAAGACAGATTGGATGCACTGGGGTTTATTTCCTTGGAGCAGAGGAGACTGTTTAAAATTGTGAGGGGTATAGATAGGGTAGACAGGAAGGAACATTTCCCTTTGGAGGAGGGCTGAATGACGGGGGGCATAAATATAAGTTAAAGAGCACAAGATTTAGAAGAGATGCGAGGAAAGAATTTTTCACCTAGAGAGTGGTGGGAATCCAGAACTCGCTACCTATCAGGTTGATAGAAGCAGAAACCCTCACAACATTTAAGAAATACTTAGATGTGCTCTGGTGATGTCAAGGTATAGAAGGCTATGAACCAACTGCTAGAAAGTGGGATTAGAATAGGTAGGTGCTTGATTTTGAGTGACACAGACTTGATGCGCTGAGTGGCTGTTTTCTGTGCTGTAGACCTCGATGACTATGACATTGTGGGATATTAGCAGTAGAATAATTGTACTCAAACT